CAGCGCCCGATGGCCCTGCAGAGCTCTTCTCCGAGTGCTACAGCAACAGCGAGGACTGCGCCTTCGCCCTGCTGGTGCGGCGGAACCACAGCTGGGGCAAGACCACCTGCCTGCACCTGGCCGCCGAGGCCGACGCCAAGGCCTTCTTTGCCCATGATGGTGTGCAGGTGAGTGGGCGGCCGGTAGGGCTGGGCCCCGCACACCGCCAGGCGCCCTCCGCCTCTGTAATTCCCACCCTTCGCCACCGTGGCCGTCCCAGCCATGTGTCCCAGCAGTGCTGCGGCTTCCTCCCCGGGCACACCTGGCCCCTCGCCCCACCTGGGGTCTCAGCGGACATCCTCGGCTCAGACCCCCTGACCCCTGAGCGCTGCCCTCCCCTTACCCCCAGGCCCACCCCAGCACTAAACCCTCATGGGATGCTTAGCCCCTTAAGAATGTGTTCCCGCCAGACCCCTCCCAAGTGCAGGTGGAGAGCAACGGGTTGTAGCAGGCACTTGGACGGGCATCCTGGCCCTGGTGGCGTGGTATGGAGGTGGGCCAGCAGCCACCTGTCTTGCAGGCCTTCCTGACGCAGATCTGGTGGGGGGACATGGCCACGGGCACACCCATCCTGCGTCTGCTGGGTGCCTTCATCTGCCCTGCTCTCCTCTACACCACCCTCATCACCTTCAGGTACACCCAGGGGCTGCCCTGGGCTCCTCAGGTGTGGGCAGGTGTCTCGCGTCCCCCTGCTGGGCATCCCCGTGGCCCTCCCCGCACAGCCTCCACGCACAGCCGGGCTCTGCCCTCATCCTTCTTGGTGCAGGCGGCAGGCTCCTTGCTGGTGGGTGTGCAGGGCCCTCAGGGTACCTCTGGGGGCCTCCTGGGCCTGAGCATCCCCTGCCCCACAGCGAGGATGCCCCACTGAGGGCAGGTCCGGAGGCCTTGCGGGAGCTGGACAGCCTGGACGCAGAGAGGAACCTGCTCAGCAGCCCCGGCAGCTGGTACGAGGCCATGGCAGGCGAGGGGTCCACGGGCGGGCAGCAGGCAGCAGGCTGAGGGCTCCATGGGGCACCCACCCCCCTCTCACCACCGGGGCCTCCTTTGCGGCACAGGGTGGACCAGCCAGAGGAGGTGCCTGGGGCTGTGCACGGCCACCGTGGGCCACAGGCTGCCTTCCTGCTCACACGCTGGCGGAAGTTCTGGGGTGCACCTGTGACCGTGTTCCTGGGGAACGTGGTCATGTACTTCGCCTTTCTCTTCCTGTTCACCTACGTCCTGCTGGTGGACTTCCAGCCACCACCCCAGGGGCCCTCAGGAGCCGAGATCACTCTCTACTTCTGGGTTTTTACGCTGGTGCTGGAGGAGATTCGGCAGGTCGGTTTGGGGCTGGGCCTGTCCGCTTGGGCCACAGCTCCTCAGCTACAAAACAGGCAGCAGCGTGAGGGGCCCCCGTCCTCCCTGACATCTGAGCCTTGTCCCTGGGCATAGATTGACCCCTGATCCTAACTCTAGACTGAGCCCTGATCCTAACTCCAGACTGAGCCTTGAGCCCTGATCCCAACTCCAGACTGAGCCCCGATCCCAATTCCAGACTGAGCCCTGAACCCAATTCCAGACTGAGCCCTGAACCCTGATCCCAACTCCAGAATGAGCCCCGATCCCAATTCCAGACTGAGCCCTGAACCCTGATCCCAACTCTAGACTGAGCCCTGAACCCTGATCCCAACTCCAGAATGAGCCCCGATCCCAATTCCAGACTGAGCCCTGAACCCAATTCCAGACTGAGCCCTGAACCCTGATCCCAACTCTAGACTGAGCCCTGAACCCTGATCCCAACTCCAGACTGAGCCCTGAACCCTGATCCCAACTCTAGACTGAGCCCTGATCCCAACTCTAGACTCAGCCCTGATCCCAACTCCAGACTGAGCCCTGAACCCTGATCCCAATTCCAGACTGAGCCCTGAACCCTGATCCCAACTCTAGACTGAGCCCTGATCCCAACTCCAGACTGAGCCTGTCTCCCCAGAATCTGAACCCTGACCCTGATCATTGACTGAGAGTGAACAATGATCCTGGACCCTCATCACAGAGTTCCCTGATCCCATGTCCAGATTGACTTTAGCCCTTATCCCACATTCAGCCCTGATGCTATCTCTAACTGATCTCCAGTCCTAATCAAACTGAGCCTTGATTCCTGATCAAAGGCTGAGCCCTGATCCCGGATGATCCCAGCCTGGTCTGGGCAGGGGTGTCCCCAGCCAGAGGTGGGAGCCCAGGCAGCAGTAAGAGGACTGTCTGCCTCTCCACCAGGGCTTCTTCACGGATGAGGACATGCACCTGGTAAAGAAATTCACGCTGTACGTGGAGGACAACTGGAACAAGTGTGACATGGTGGCCATCTTCCTGTTCATTGTTGGTGTCACCTGCAGGTCTGTGTGGCCTGCAGGAGCAGCTGCAGGGGGCTGGGCATGCCGTCCACGGGCCTGGAGCCAGGCCACCTTCTGCATGAAGCTGCTTGGGCCTCGGGAATTGGGCTTTGCTCTGGCTGGCCCCTTGGCCAGCGCGTGCCCTTGGGGCTTTCTGGCAGCTCAGCCTCATGTCCCCAGGGTGCTGCCCTCAGTGTTCGAGGCCGGCCGCGCGGTGCTGGCCATTGACTTCATGGTGTTCACGCTGCGGCTCATCCACATCTTCGCCATCCACAAGCAGCTGGGCCCCAAGATCATCATCGTGGAGCGCATGGTGAGCCCCGCGACTCCGCCCCCCACCCCCCATCCCCCCCTTCCCGGCTAACGCGCCTCTCCCGCCCCGAGATGAAGGACGTCTTCTTCTTCCTCTTCTTCCTGAGCGTGTGGCTCGTGGCCTATGGCGTGACCACGCAGGCCCTGCTGCACCCGCATGACGGCCGCCCCGAGTGGATCTTCCGGCGAGTCCTCTACCGGCCCTACCTGCAGATCTTTGGGCAGATCCCTCTGGATGAGATCGATGGTGCCGGCCGGGGCG